CGACCAGGGACGAGCGGTGTGTGTGTGTGGGGGGGGGGGTAGAAGAGAGGCTTGGACGAGTGCATGGACCCACCAGAGTTCAGCCGCTGCCTTGGTGGGGTGAATTTCATGTACATTATATATTTGTCAAAAGCTCCATTATCATTTTTATGTCATCAATGTAGAGGAAAGTATAAATTACACTTTTAGTTACTTTATAATCAGTTTTTCTTTCATGATTCTGAAAGTCAAATTTATATTCTATATAAATGAACATTTGGCCATATATGGGACGTTAGACAGCCAAGCCTTTGCTGTATTATCAGATATCATTGCAAAAATCACCGCCATTAAGCAAATGTTTTATAGATGCCTAGTCATTTCAATGTATTCGAACGTTAAAGTTGTTTAAAATAGCATGTGTAGCACTACCGCTACCACATATCTTTGTTTTGGCCTAGGGATCACGTGGCTCGCTAGCCGGGAGGTCGGGTGTTCGATCCCTGCATTGGCAGAGAAAGTTCACCCAGATTTTCCGGCGTGGTTTCCCCTTGTCAGTGATGCAGGACGGAGGGCCTGGCAAGAACAGCTGTCTAGTCGTTCGGATGGGACGAAAAACCGAGGTCCCATTGTACATATTGACGTGCACGTAAAAGATCCCTTGACAGTTGGAATTCGATATAAGAGTAGGCCGTAGCGCCGCTGCCCGGGCAAAATTTCCCTCATAGCACACTGTGTTGCGTATGTCCGTCTTCATTAGCCCAGTTTAGGAGCAAAACAGTAGGACGTTAAACCCCATTTCATTTCATTTCATTGTTTAGGCCTGATCGTCTAGGGGTTGATTTAACCCTGGACTGACTGCTGCTGTATCTCTCTTTTTAAGGACTTCACTGTTGTATTTTCTCAGTGCGGATACCATATCAAATATGTAACAGGAACAACGATAGTTTTTTTGCTATACGTTTTTATATCATACATTACAATATTTAAAATTAACATCTCTTTCTCTCAACCCCAACTCCTGTAAAAGTCTAACCAGCGTGGCTAGACTCAGGAAAACACTACATCATTAGGAGCCACCGGTCTTCTATAGAACCCAATGATGTCTAAACCGTCTTCTAAAGAATACAATGATGTCTGACCATTCTAGGCCTCACTCCGTCTTTTATATGTGGGTATTCTTTTGTCTGCGGTATTTACGAAAAGACTGATAACAGCTAAATTCCAAATATGGAATGGGCATGCACCATACCCTGGATATCGACAGGGATTGTTACTTAATTTGGTCAACAAATATGACATATATTTTATAATAAAGAAACATGTAAATGGCCAACATGTTCATTAATCTATAGCTCAGTTAACATAACAAAATAACCAGCATACTTTCTTTTTTTTTGGTTATGAACCTAGAATCAATAATTTGTAAATATTAAGTGACTCGATAAGTTTAGTATAGACTATTTGACAATCCGGTATTCAAAATGGTATTAATATGATTATTTTGTCGGACATAAGCACCAAGGTTCGCGTATATAATACACAAATATGTTTAATGACATAGTTTTCTCTAATATAATGTAACAATATTGTCGTGGCGACAAGGAATGGAGAAATATGATGGCTGAAACAATATTTTTATCTTATTATTTAGAATTAGTGGTTTGATCCCTGCTTAAGTGTGTTGTGTTAAAAGGAGTTATTTCCCCTTTCCCAGGCTGTTACAGCTAACATCCTTGTCATCATGTCGTCTATAAACATTAATACCACAATATCTCACGTTGACAACAAACGACCGAAACTTTAGTGACTAACTCAAATAGGAAAAAAGGAAGTATAATGGCTGGATATGTTAGATGTGGGAATTTAAACTAAAATCAAAGTAATTTCATCTTTAAAAAGTTTCTTCTAATACTATCTCTAATTTCAAATTGTGTATAAGTGAACTCAGTTTATCGTCATAAAAACTCTTATTTCTGTGTTGTCATTTTCAAGGATTCGAAACAAATGATTCAGAATGATATTAAAGTTCAAACTGATGTGACATTTTTTAATTGACGACTCGGTCAAGATTAATTTTTGTCCAATCTAATATAAGCCTCCCTGAATCAACACACGTTTTGTGTACAGTTTCATGCGATTTCGAAAGGTAGGATATTGCATCGAGCGTCTTTCTCTATACAGTAGGCCTGCATATGACCTTAAAACAGTGGCATGTGCAGTGTATTTTGTTACACATTTCCACAGAAACTGAATAAAGTTAATGTTTCATATTGTTATTCGGACACTGCTTTAAAACCGGTATCTAGTCCTGGGATAAAAATCAGATCTTTATTATTTAGTTTCGATTTTCGTTGGCCTACACTTTTAGCGACTGTCTTGTCTGGTGAGACCGATGATATCATTATGACTTGCAATTTCACAGTCTGTCATGTTAACGATACGATTGCATAATCATAGCACCAAATACCGCTACAATACCCGACTTCATTAGCCAGGCCGGACGTTAAACCCCATTTCAGTTCAATTCACGAGCCATTTTCTCGAGCCTATCATTTTCGACCTATACTGGGGAGACCCAGGAGTGAGTCCATGAGAGAGCCTGAACAAGGGCCCCCACCCCCTGTTCATTTTTCTGCACCCGCCCCTGAATGGGAATCAACCAGACGTTACAGAACGTATACTTCTTAAACATGCTATTAGACTCTTTACTGTAGTTTGAAGGTTATATAACCAGAAGAGAAATGAAAATGGGGTCTAATTGTACTTCTGAAAAATGGCATTAGACTTTACTGTAGTTTGAAGATTATTAAACGAAAAGATAACAGGATATGGGGTATAATTGTACTTCTGAGAAACGCCATTAGACTTTACTGTAGTTTGAAGATTATGAAACGAAAAGAGAAAAGGATATGGGGTCTGATTGTACTTCTCAAAAACGCCAATAGATTTTACTGTAGTTTGAAGGTTGTGGAACGAAATAAAAAAAAATGAGGTCTATTTGTACTAGACAGAAATGAAGGTGGATGGAGGGGGGGGGGGGGGTATGGCGGGGTATCGGGTTCAAAATGCAATCTAGAGTAAAAAGCAGAAAGTCAACAGTAAAAAGTAGAAAATCTAAAGTAAACAGGAAAATTGTTATCTAAAAGGGTATTTTTATGGTGAAAACCTATAAATTTATGTACTTAGTCAGTGGAAGCTTTTCAACTTTTAATCGTCATAATTCTACTTTCATAGACAAAATTTCTCCTTTCAACGTTTGACTTTCGACTTTCCGCTTTCTACTTTCTACTGTCAAATTTTGACTCTCGACTTTCCACTTCAGATTTTCTACTCAGGATTCTCTATTGCAGATTGTCTCCAATACTATTGTGGCTGATAGTGGCCATGTAATTTTTCGCCATTTTCATAACCCGACAACACGACATAACGACAGTATTAGTGAGAGCATACGTCAAAGTAGACTTGGATATTATAGAATTTTGGCAATCGGAATTTTTCACATCCGTATCGCGTATCCGTACGTATGAGTAGCTGAGCCGAGCTTAGTTCTCTTACAACATGACGACGGTTATCTACCAAAATCATCATCAGTGCTAGTCAAGTGCCTAGCCACAAATGCCTAGACTTGACAGCAATTTTTGGTTTCACTCATTTCAGAAAGTTTATACCCCTTTACGGTAGAATCACACCATTTACACCTCCCTAAATTTAGCACGTAGATAAATCAGCATGCAGACAAACAGGAAAAATATGAAAATTCCGAGAAAAACTTATAAAAAATAATGATTAAAAACACGTCTTTATCATGGTCAAAATCACATCAAATATACACCTTCGTGTTCTAGGATACACATAGATTCATAAAAACGCTATGCCACAACATTTCAGCGTATAAAAGTAGCAAAAAAGGCGATAAAAAGACGACGATGTTATACGGATCTTTCCGTATGAAAGCTGTTCGATACGTGCTGCCGTATCCGTGTGCCGTATCACGTATGAGGAATACACACACATTGATGACGTCATACACAAAATCCATATGGATACGCGATGCGGACCGGGAATTTACGCTTGCCAAAAGTCTCTAATATCCAAGTCTACTTTGATGTATGCCCTCACTAATACTGTTGTTATGTCGTGTTGTCGGGTTATGAAAATGGCGAAAAGTTACATGGCCACTATCAGCCACCATAATATTGGAGAAAATCTGCGTTAGAAAATCGTGAGCAGAAAATCTGAAGTGGAAAGTCGAAAGTCAAAAGTTGACAGCAGAAAGTAGAAAGCGGAAAGTCAAAAGTTGATAGTAGATATTATGTCCATGAAAGTAGAATTATAGCGATTAAAAGTTGAAAAGCTTGAGGTATCTGCAGACTAAGTACATAAATTTACAGGTTTTCACCATAAAAATACCCTTTTAGATAAATAATTTCCCCATCTACTTTAGATTTTCTACTTTTTACTGTTGACTTTGTGCTTTTTACTCTAGATTGCATTTTGAACCCAATACCCCGCCATGGGGGGGGGGGGGCGATTACACGATAAGTACCGGGTCCGAGGCACCCAGCGAGATTTAAACTCGAGTAGACAAGAAATTTCAGTTCGTAATTCAAGGGGACGAAGGGGGGGGGGGTCGAATAAGGGTGCGATATAGCTTGCAATGAAACTGTTTCATGATACTAATCTGAATAGGGTATATAGGCAACAGATGACACTGGCATTGTCGGCTTTCTTAACCATATAGTTCTTAAATTTGATGTAATTTGCATGGATCAATTATTACAACAAACAAATATACCCAACTCTCAATCAAACACAAACATTGAACCTCTTTGTTAAATAATTGTTACCTAAGAGCTAGAAGTGGTATCAGATGTTCTAGAAGAGTACGCACACCATGCTCGGTCAATGATACTGTCCCGTACCGTAGCTAAACGGAGGGATCAAATCATTTACTAGTAACCTACAAATGGACTTTAATTGGTTCCTGTATTATTCATAACACACAAAAACTGAATATATTATATCAAAAGTATTTTATTATTGAAATGATTGGTATAATAACTATTGGGTGCCAATGTAAGTACATATTATTGTGATATGTTTTATTTATATACAGATGACTAATCTAATTCTACTCTATATACAATTCATTATGGTCAGACCTTCCTCTTGCTTCACAATATACCTCATGCAAAGCCGACATACCTAAATTATTGAGATTCTTTAAACTTGGTAGGTTTTATTACAATCTTTATACATTATTATTGTATTGAAAATAAATTACATATACTATAGACTGAAACTAGGTTAGCGCTGTCCATACAAAGACATACAGAAATATGTCGCATTACGAGTTATAACGAATACCAAACGATAATTTCAATTATTCACAAACAATGAATGAATGAAATTGGGTTAAGCTTCCTACTTTTCTATTCACAAAGAATACGGATTTGTGTGAAATAGTGATTATAATAATAACAAAAATTATTAATATATCTCCTGGAACTGACTAAAATTTTATTTTGCTATTCAACAAGAAATATCAAGTTAAATATTCAAAGTAAATTTTATCTGTTGCGCATTATTCCAATCGTTATATGACTTTGTTATATCGGATGCATAGTTCTAACAATATACAAAATATAACAACCCTTTTCAGACTTTCTTTAAATTTGTCTAAGATCTTTAGGATGGACTTGAATAATATACAAGATTTTCTATGTTATAATGTTACAAAACACAGAAAACCAGTGTTGCCATATGGTCACCAGCATCCTCCACGGGATCAAAATCTCTAACATGTACTTTGCTTATAAAGTTTCGTGCGACAGTCTTATTTAATGACTAAGAAGCTCTAAGACGAACTTCGAAAACTCTTGACCAATTGAACGGATAAGGCTGACGACAATATACTGTAACATGGAGAATGACATGTATATCATGTGTTTGTATGAATTTATTGACATGATGGTATTACATCGTACAAATACAAAAACTATGTGAACGTCCTGAAAAATGTTTAAAAAATAAAACGTGATATCAGATGTTTTAAATGAATAAGACGTGTCTCACACACGACACAATGACACAATAATCTTTTAATGTGAAAGAATTTAGTGGATTAACCACTCTGTTAACATATAAAATATGTTTAATCTTTTTGCTGAACTGACTGTATAACATGCCCAAAGGCCAATCTTTACTGTAATACGTGAGTACCTTTGTACCGTAAATAATGGTATTAATGATTATGAAAGCCAATACAATAAACAGACTTTTGACTCATTACTTCCCTTATGACATGGACAAAAATGATACAGCGAGTAATAAAGTGGTATCGGTTTATCTACGTCATTACAGTACTAAATTATGAGTTAATACATATTAATTATTTTAAGACATGTATATAAATGAGTAAATGAATGACACTATATGAAAATGTAATTAAAATAAATAAAGGATTATTACTCGTGGTGTATAATAATATATGACTTCTGTTCGTATATATTGCACGGTATTATAACTATTTGAAATAACACGAAGGTCTAACGCTCTCTTATTTTGAAAACTAGATAGTCAGTGGTGTGGGTTAGTTTCTCCAGTTCATAATAGCTGTGTTCCTACACATCAGAAGTAGGCCTACTTGGGATAACCAACGCCACCGACATCTTCCGTTTTCAAAACTAGAAAATTATTGAACAGAAATAAGGCGCACGTTATCCTTAATTTACGGTATTGTTCGTCTTTTGCTACGCAACAACCCTTAACAAAAACGCGCCACAAATTACCATATTGTAAACTATTTCACCAACATTTATTTCTAACGCCACACATTTGATACCATGATACAAGTATCAGCCTAATACGCAATCTAACTCGACGCCAGTCCATGCGACTAAACGATAGTCGGGGTTTGCTGTTAGGAACTGAAGCGTCCCGGGTAACAGATCTACAACCATGAAACGCTACATTGAATAAACGCCAGACAATACCTTGCCAGCTAATATCAAAACGCAACTTCCCTTTTTATACTATATATTATCTTATATCCCCGATGTCCTTTAATAATCTAATTTTTAATCGTCTCAATGATATTTGAGATATAATAGATATATAGGTATTGTGCGTTAGACCATGGTTTTATCCTTTAAGATTGGATCTCTAATAAGAATAATATTGTTAACAGAGTGATCCTTTCGCAATAACGGTGATGGTGTGCTAGGCTCTAGCTCAGAATTAGCCGCATACGTTGATATATCTTTATTGTCTGTGGTGGATTTGAGATTTGGTAAAGTTACTTTATAGAACTGCAAAGAGAAAACAATCACCAAATGTTATTCAGTATACTATCACAAAGTCGTTAGCTCGGATAATGGTACTAGAAAAGTAACCAGGGTGGATGTGAGGTGGGGTAGGTAGGTACTTTGCGCATAGAGCTACGGTTCCTAGTACACCGTTTGACAGAACTTTTTAGATTTTCTATTTCTATTGTTACATGTACAATACGAGGAGAAAGGTGCCGCCTAAACGTGTTCGAGTTACAACTACCAGGGGATATTTTACGTGCACTACTAATTTCTACACCGACCTACACAGGGACAGTTCGGACGCGAGGGAACCGGGCTTGAATATTCATTCAATCTTATGACTAAGAGCGAGAGAGAGAGAGAAATTAGGTTTAACGTCCACTTGTCACAAACTAGGTCTTTTCGGGACTAACACATGGTTCAATTTTATTTCAATAATTCGCTTGCGCGTAGGGGTCTTTAGCAGTGAGAGGAAACCGGAGGACCCGGAGAAAACCAACAAGGTTGGACAGGCGACCCTACTCCTTATCACGTACAACCGGGGATTCGAAACCACGCCAGTTGACTCAACGACAGACCGTATGATACAGCGCAGCGCGCTCGTGCTAACCATTCGGCCATCCACCCTCTTATGACTAAGAGATACAGGTAGGTAGGCCTATATACATGTACATATAAAAAAAAATAAAGAGGTATTGCCATTTTTGTTGAATCAGTTAATAGATTTGTTTATGATGTCATCAACATTGAGAGGCATTTCTTCCCTGGGAATCAAACGACTATGATAACAGGAAGACTTTACTGAGATAAAATGACGACAGGGAGTATTGAGCATGGCACACGTCATGTTTTGAAATGTCCCGGATATCCCCGTTTAAGATGCCCAGAAACTTCAATAAGGCTTAAAATCCTACAATATTGCAGTCAACTTATAATCAATTATCAGAATTTAACACTAATCATATTGGTGTTATTATCTGATTGTAAACAATAATCACTTACTGTAATCCACGCTAACACACTACCAAGTACCGCTCCACCAACAACATCCGATGTAAAATGTTTATTATCTGTTACCCTGGTAACACCTGACCAAACAGCCAATAACATAACACCAGCTTGTAAGGTTGGTCGCAGTAAATGTGAAAAATCTACATTCATACGATGATGAAGATATAACTGAAAGAAATAAAGGATTTAAAGTATAAATTTAGATATCTCGCGTTATTTCCGAGCATACAATTTTAAAGTACTGTATTAAAAAGATCTTTGTGCTTACTCTGTCGATGATATTTTTTTGGCGTAGCCTATTCCACCAATATTTAGATGGGTCGCCAGTTTTTCGTTCCATTTAAACGACAATCAGTGTGAAATTTTTGGTCGAGCCCGAAAATCAGCGCACATAGGAATTATCAAGAAATGAAATAAGGTTTAACTTCCTACTTTTCTGCACCAATCTTATTTATAAAGATTCATCTGGGTCCTCCGTTTTCCCCCCACTGCTAAAGACCCCTACGCGCAAAGACCTAGTTTGTGTCGAGTGGAATTTAAATCCCATTTCGCCCTCTTTCTCTCTCTAAAGATTCAACATGTTATTGTTGACCAAATGTGATCTCAGACGTTATTTAAGCATCAGAGGTCATATAATTGGTCATATGATCTAATTGGCAATTACCAATATTCCATAATTAGCGGGAGATCACGGTGGCTAAGTGGGTAAGGCGCTGGCTCGCTAGCCTGGAGGTCGGGTGTTCGATCCCTGCATTGGCCGAGAAAGTTCATCCAGATTTTCCGGCGTGGTTTCCCCTTGTCAGTGATGCAGGACGGAGGGCCTGACAAGGACAGCTGTCTAGTCATTCGGATGAGACGAAAAACCGAGGTCCCGTGTACACTTTCGCGTGCACGTAAAAGATCCCTTGACAGTTGGAATTCGATATAAGAGTAGGCCGTAGTGCCGCTGTCCGGGCAAAATTTCCCTCATAGCACACTGTATGGCGTATGCCCGTCTTCATTAGCCCAGTTCGGAGCAAAACAGTAGGACGTTAAACTCCATTTCATTTCATTTCATTTCCATAATTAGCGGGTCAACGGCAAATAGGGACTTTCCGACAATACCAATCTGATTAAAATACAGATCTATATTTCGTTTCGGTTTATTTTATACTTTCGATGGCCTACACTACAACGGTTTTTGATCTATGACGTCACACATTTGATTAACCAACCAGCCTTGATTTTTCTAGTGGGATACCCACAGTTCCGTGTACTGCGCGCCAAGAACTCGCCGTAAAAGACATCAACCAGAACGCGGGTTATATAACAACTCTTCCAGATCCTAGTGTAGCGAAGACAAGTAAAACGAATTTTGAACTATAAAAAACGAAACGAAATAGGATATGTGTTTTAATCCGATTGCGACCATACATTATTTAAAACGATGCCGTATTTAGTTATCACCATCTGAAGTTCACAATACCTTAAAAGGGAAACTATTATTGGTGTTGCAGTTGGGTCTTTTAACAAATTTTCTTGTTTATAATTATTGTTTGTAAGTAATTATTCTTACCACGACAAAAACAGCTGAGAAGAAAGAAAAAGATGCATGTCCTGATGGGAAAGACAATCTACTATCTCTCATCAACTTAGCACTAACTTCTGTGTTAGTACACTCATATTCTGTTATATACCTACAAATATACAAATACTATAATATAATATTCTATAGTCATTATAGTCACTAAGGTCATTATGAGGTCTCTCCGGTTGTATTACCAAGTGTCTACAACGGAAATGGATAGAAAATTTAAACCTGCTATCACGGTTGCAAGTTCCCCATAGACATACATCGTTTAGTCGGCATAGTTATTAATTTACGTTCGTCTTATAAACTTGAAAGTGGCCATAGCTTAATAACAATGTCGCTTGATGTCATGTGATGTCTTTTAGAGCTAATCACTGCTTAAAATGACTTGCGTCAAAAAAAATGTGTTGCTATGTTTTGTGGGATAGCAATTTGTCGTCTATAGACATATTAAGACATAACCTATTAAGTGTTCCACTGTCGACACAGTAAATCAACAGTTGCTAAGCCGACATCCGCTTAATCGTTCGAAACAAAATTGCCCATCAAAAACTTTTCTTCGATTCCAGACCAAAAAATCAATAAAACGTGGCAGTGAAAGTGAAAAATAGCGCAAACGAGAGAATTGCTAAATAACGATAATAGATGAACTGCTTTCAGGGTGAATATTTGCCCGTCTTCTTCGTCTATCTCGATTTCACATTTATTTTAACCAAACCTTAACTACGGTGTACCCATGTCTGGTTGGAAGTGGACGTAAAACTACAGGAACGAACGAACGAATAGATAAGAACATGGCGTCACCGTTTGACATGACTTGTGGAACATGTCTAGCCTCGTTCTTCGAGTCCCTTGTAACAAATGGCGCTGAAAAGCATTGTGTACCAATGGTAAAATGGTTATTTTGTCTTAAATATTAGTAAGATCACAACATGAATTCTTATTTAAATTGACAAATAATTCGTGTTTTTAATGTCGCAGACATTGGATGATAATGAGTTAGAGACTTAGTTACTTTAAGTGTGGTCATTTGTATTGATTGCGCAAGAACTGTTGCTCTTCTGTTGTTTTGCTTCGTATCGTCACCCAAAAAAACCTGAAGGCTGGGATAATTTCAACAATGGCGGTGTTATGTGAACTTTTACACTAGTTTTAACTGTTTATTCGACATTCAATAGATAGATAATACAAATAAACAAAAGAAAAGTCAAACTTTCAAACTTACATGTTAATAAACTTATTCTACAGATGTAAAAACAAACTCACCCTAAACTACAGTTAATCTTCGAAAAATCTGGTCGGCAAATGTCTATAAAATGTGGCCTGAGTCGTCCAGCAGAAAATTTTAGGGTTTCTGTAAAGACTTTAGCCACCATTGTTCCGAACAAGAAAAACCCAAAGCCCTTCACGGCGCACCACATATTAGAAGCCCTTCTGCCGGAATTACCTTTGTTTAATGTGCGGCATAATTCCGTTAAAACCATCTAAAATAAAATAAAAATAGCGGTGAGGTATTGACATTTGAAATACTATCTATAACGTCATTTAGATAAAAGTAAAAAAAATACATACAAAGATAGATAAACTCCAGGCTTGGATTCAGTCGGATAAATAGGAGCCCGCCAAAAAAATGTTTTAGCGAAATTATAGGTGATATTGCCATACCCAGTGTGTATCGTCTGTAGAGGGGGAATCACGTGGCTTAGTGGGTAAGCCGCTGGCTCGCGAGCCTGGGGGTCGGTGTTCGATCCCTGCATTGGCCGGGAAAGTTCATCCAGATTTTCCAGCTTGGTTTTCCCTTGTCGTTCGGATGGGACTAAAAACCGAGGTCCCGTGTACACATTGGCGTGCACGTAAAAGATCCCTTGGCAATTGGAATTCGATATAAGAGTAGGCCGTAGTGCCGCTGTGAGGGAAAAATTGCCCTCATAGCACACTGTATGGCGTATGCCCGTCTTCATTAGCCCAGTTTAGGAGCAGAACAGTAGGACGTTAAACCCCATTTCATTTCATTTCATTTCGTCTGTAGAGAATACCGAATGTATTTTCAATTCCTCAGATCATTATAAAGATTGAACGGAATTATGGAATTCAAACATTCGTTTTGGCCGATATTCTCTTTAAAGATTCAACTTACACAATACTGTAGTTTGCAAGAGATCAAATGAAGATCAGAAACTATGTAAAGGCATGATAACTTACAGTAACTAAAGGCACCCCGATTCCAACGGCTAACAATACTGGTACAGAAACACTGTCAGGATGATACTGATACTGGATACTGGTGTCATCACACCTAAAACCCAGTTTAAATGGTGTTCCATGTATAAATAGAGCTAGCACCGGCACACAAACTGTAATAGACAGAGAAAAAAAACATGTAAATAGTTCATGTATGTTTATACATAAGCCTAGAAGGGTCATGGATTATTTGGCTTCAATCAAATAGAGCGATTCAGAAATATCAGAAAGTTTAAATATGAGTACATCCCTACTCGTAAATATGAACATCTGGGTTAGGTTGTTTTTACGGTCGCCTGGGTTACTTTATTTCAGTTTATTTTTTTTTTAATATTTTCTTTTATAAATCTTCCTTGATTTTTGTAGGCTGTTGTCATTGTCTTTGAAAATATTTATTGACAAGCATGTTCTAAACATTTTAAGTGCCAGAAATTTCTAGGGAAATCGTTTTCGTGATGTCATTTCCATTTCGTTTTACGATTGTGTGGGCCAAATCGGGCCAGATTCCTTCCAATTGCGGATGCTACTATTCTCGGCAATAACGAAGACTCCATAAAATGAATATCCTAAACAGTGTCCTTACTTAAGTTAAATGTGTCATAAGATGGGTGGATTCTAATAACGTTGTTATATATTGGTGTGACCCGGATGATGAGACTATTGTCATATATCCTGTCTTCATTGAAATAGTAATTAAGAAGACGACATGATGACATAAAATGAATTAATAGACAAAGTTCAAAATGCCATTTCATATTGAGGAAATAATATTTATTATATTCAATTCAAGTATATATATAATATAAACCTATTATTGGAAATGTGTGTCATAAACTCTTCCATGATATTTCCTCATTAAAATGCGATTTTATATTGGATATTAATATTGCATGATGAGTTAGGCAGTCTATACTATTCCACTGATAAGTTGCGAAGTCGACAATAATACGATTCCACTGCTGAGCTGAGAAGTCTACTATACTATAGAGATCATCCCAGTTATACACATAATGGCGAACCAATGTTTCTCACATTGAATACTGGGCCTCGTAGTTACATGATTACTGGGCTCGTATCAGAGTGTCCAGTGCTGCATAGACACGAAGGGCGGCGCGAACATAGTAAGTGTGCCGTAGTCGTTCGATCGGGACGAAGTTGTGAACGTAAAAGATCCCGTGGCAATTCAAATACGACTAGGCGGAAAGCCGATGAGCACACCTAACCACAGAAATAAAAATTATCGTATGTTACCCTAAACATTACCATAAGTAAAGTATCGACAATACCAACCCATTTAATTACATTCTTCAGTACTGTAATTGACGGGTTATTTATTGTGACAGACATGCCACATGCCCGTAACTAATAAACAAATACATTTCTTATAACTTATATATATCCTGATTATAAAAAAATACTTCATTACTTCCTGCTTCTCCATTCAATTTATAATGCCAATCTTTATTAGAAGAAAGATATATTTTTATGAGGTCAGATAATTAAAGGAGAAAGCCACATCTATACTTATCCTCTAGAAAGGAAAGTGTATGAAGTTTAACGTCTTGTTAACTCAATACTTTGTCCCGAATGCGGTGCTTCTTAATCTAATTGTCAAGGGTTCTTTTACGTGCACACCAATGTGTACCGCGATTGAACAATTGTTTGGGTTTTTTTTTTATCCTTCACGACACTTTACACCGAAACATCAAATAAACAATTATGAATAAATTTCTAAGCTATGTATGTCTGCATCCAGTATATAGACGCTGGGTTGGGTAAGGTTTGTCTTAAGTTTGTTTATGTATACGGTTCCCTATGGAAGCGTATAGGGGTCAATAGCGCGATAGATAAGGCAATATTAAGTTGGTATGTCAACATATTGTGATTGTTCTGATGATTATATCTCTGAAAAGACCCTTTTTTCTGAGCTGATTGAATCAGCGCGCTATGTTATATGTCCCCATTACGTTTTAAATGTGCACGTTTGCGTTAAAATATTGCTATTCTGGAGCTTTGTCAACATATTCCATTTCGCTGTAGTATATATCGACATGTTCGCAAAATATCGCCATGCGCTATGTCGACGTGTGCATTTAAAACGAAATGACGATATACAACATAGCGAGTTATTCAATTAACTCGGCAAAAATTATCTTTTCAGAGATAAAATCATCAGAACGATCACAAATTCACAAATGTTGACATAATTATTACCAACTTAATATTGGGTTATCTATCGCTCTACTAACCCCTATACGCTTCCATAGTTTCTCGCCTAATAGAAGGCGGTTAAAATTGATTTTGCGCCCATAGGTTGTTCACGTCTGTTCATTTGTCTGTCTATAATCCTTGTATCCGCTACTGTGGGGGCACCAGTTGTTTTATGACGTCATATTCTATATGTAGCATCCCACCTATGTTGTTATTCAGTCTATATTCATCTACTACTCCCTAATCCTCTTAACGATCCCATGGTGAAACTTATGGCTGTTTTCTTTAAAAATATATGTCTGGCGCACTTTTAATGAAATTTTTGTACCAAATGCCACTAATTTTGTAGTAGATTCTTCAAATAACATTGGAATTTTTTTGCAGAAACTATAAAATTGGATTTTAAGGAATTATTCCACTTCGCTGATTCATGATATTAGGTTACGTGTTTGTTGGTGAGAATTGGCTAAATGAAAATGATTTCTTAAAATAAAATACTTTGTATGGCCTACTACGTAACGTATTGCCATAACAAGGTGTAAAATTATTATCGCTTATTTCATCTGTTGAAGTTATGCAACTGTTGAATAATGTCTACAATTTCGTGGATGCACTTGATAACGGGTAGAATAGAGGATTATGAAGTGGGTATGGAGAGGTTTGTGTGGGTAGATGGGTGGTCTAATTATCTACTTGTCCAGGTGCATTCTGACGTAGGCTAAAGCTGAGGCAGTTAATAACTATTTTTTCATCTGTACTATATAGGAATGCGATCAAACGACAAATGGCTAAAACAGCCCTCCTGTCTGCTAGCCTGGAGGTCGGGTGTTCGATCCCTGCATTTGCCGAGAAAGTTCATCCAGATATTCCGGCGTGGTTTCCCCTTGTCAGTGATGCAGGACGGAGGGCCTGGCAAGGCAGCTGTCTAGTCGTTCGGATGGGACAAAAAAACGAGGTCCCGTGTACAAATTGGCGTGCACGTAAAAGATCCCTTGGCAGTTGGAATTCGATATAGGAGTAGGCCGTAGCGCCGCTGCCCTGGCAAAATTTCCCTAATAGCACACTGTATGGCGTATGCCCGTCTTCATTAGCCCAGTTTAGGAGAAAAACAGTAGGACGTTAAACCCCATTTAATTTCATTTCCTAATGATATTGTTATTGACCTAATTTATTGTTTATCGTCTACTGTATGACGTCATCATAGCAATAACGTACGCAGAGAAACACAATTAAAGATGGGCTAACACTTTTTATAAAGTGACATCCGTGACTGGGACTGTTCAAACTTTGACCAGGATTTGTTCAATATCGATAATAATACATAATTTAGGCGCAATTTACTATTCTATTCACAAACAGAAGAAGATGGTGACAAGATAACATAAATTAGATGAAAAATTCACACTGTCACGACACAGAAATGAGTACGGCTAGTGTTCTGTTCTGCTCCGACTGGTCTAATGAAGACGGGCATTCGCCATACATTGTGCTAAGGGGGACCTCGATTTTTTTTATCCCATTCGAACGACTATACGTGTGTGTTTTATGTACAAATTTGGAAACAAATAATTATATAATGAATATTTTTCGTTCGATCCCATGTACAAGTAACCGAACTAAACCGGTTATCAAGTCAACACCGACACCGGCCCATACTTGTGAATGAAGGGTGGCGCTGCGTGATTGGCATAATGTGTCTAGTCGTTCAAATAGGGAAAAAAACGAGAGACTATAGTTCCATTGAACACTTATATAATAAGCAAATAACTAAAATCTGGTCTTAAAATATTCCGGTATAAAGCACAGACGAGACGCTATATTTCTTACAATATTTACTTCTGAAAACATAACCCACGAAGATATAAACATGAATAAAAGGTCTCTAATAAAAATTGTTAATTTAATAAATGTAAAATGTATAATAGATAATTATATGTATATAAATGATAATGCCTTAAGCCTCAAAACGTGCTTTATAACAACCGACATAAGCCGAGATCTTGTCTTTTTCTTTCAACATATATGTAAATCATATGCCACAAGTCGCGTGTCCTGCTACGTTAAATGACATTATGAATTATAGTCATTTATCATAATATATTTTATGTTAACATAAATCAAGTGAAAGAAATTAGCACAGATTCCGGCTCGATTATTTGACCTAATGATGTCGTCGCGTAGACGAGTACAACAAAAAGATTCAATTGTTTAAAGCAACTCAGAACTATACATTCAGCGCAACTCTTAAAAAATATATCAAAAATCATAAAATGCTAATCGGGTCAGTATAAAGGACAATTGTGCCAAGATAGTTGAAATACCTGACAACCCACACAAATTTATTTTAGATCGTTGGCGATGAATTGGTGCTTATTTAGTACTCCAGAATTGCATGCACCGCAACTTTAAAATATCAAAAAAATCATAAAATACTAATTTACCGGGATAAATGACAATTTCGTGAAGATGGTCGATATACCTGACAATAGTGACAACCCACACTAAAAATATGTTATAATCGTTCACGGTGAATTGGTGCTTATATATTATTTAGTACATTTCAAGCAACAGAACTTTGTTAACACGAACAACAAATCTTTGTTTCAAAATGTCCCAAAACTGATCCCGCAATTTAAATTTTAAATTGTACTCAAATTCCTTTATTTTAATTTGTTGTCACAGAGATTGATTTATGATGTCAGATTATACTATTTTTGGCGATTATCTGCAAGAAAAAAACATTCCAATCAATCAGCAAGGTCAGATATATAGGCCATTTTAAAGTTCAGGACGGTCACATTAAGGACAGCGATAAAAATATTCATATTTGGTTATACATATTTACACATCTGTCCGTTTATGTATTTATTTATCTATATTATTTCACTGAAAATGATTTATG